TGTGTGTGTGTGTGTGTGTGTGTGTGTGTGTGTGAGCGTGCGTGCTTGCGTGCCTGCGTGCCTGCGTGCCTGCGTGCGTGCGTGTGTGCGTGTGAACGTGTATGCCCATATGTGCGTGACATACACACATTCCTGCATCACGAAAGAAATAATATGAATGAACAAGGAATAAAAACAAATATTATTGGATGATGAATTTAATGTTTACTCTTCGTTCGGCACAGTCAGCAGAAGACATCACAAGAAAAAACACAGCAGAATTAACCTAATCGACTACACACTATATGAGGAAACAACAAATGGTAAGACAAAGAAGATTTAATTAATTAAAGAAATGTATTAAAGATGGCGTCTAAAGTTCGTCTCTCTTCTTTCTAACAAGACGAGCCTCTCTCTGAGCTTTAGGCTTTTTCGTGGTTGTATCTTTCTTGATCTTGGCGTCTACATCAGGGGCACTGCGCGCGCACCGGAAGCCTGTGTTTGCTGCGGTGTAATCTTGCTTTTGGCCCATCCTGGGAGGAGGAATAAAACCACGTTCATAATTAGAATACCAATAAATTAAGTTTACTTTTACTCGAATAGTTTATACCTGGTTGTGGAAGAATATTTTGTCGGTGTCGCAAGCAATCTAGTTAAGGGAGGGAGGGGGGGTACTTTTTACGTGAGAGACAAAAAAAAACAACAACCAAACAACCCCCCCCCTAAAAAAACCCAAAAAAACAAACTAAATAAAAATCTAGTAGTTTTTGCTGTAAATTAATTTTTCTATCAGGAATTATGACAAGCAAGAAAACTGTAAGCCTTCACCAAAGTATTACACTGCGTTTTGATGATGTTGTAAGGTGCATCTTTTATTGGAGCTTTGGTTGGTTGTGAAAATAAAATTTTTTCAAAATTTGAACTTTTACGAATTGTTTGAGACAGGAAAGAAGTTTACTTTTACTCGTATAGTTATACCTGGTTGTGCAAGAATCTATTTACTTATCTCAGTACATGTATTCGATTTTATGAAAATAATTACACACAATTTACTTATCGTGTCCTGCAAGTTTCAATTGAAGGGAGGTAACTGCAGAATTGCAATTGTTATTCAGGCATACATCAGTTACGTCCCTTGGTTTTGTATACTACCACAATTTTATTATTTCTCATGAATGAGGAATTTCTCTAGGAAAGGATTAGCTGCTTGTTCGTCAGTTAATAGGGTTATTTTTTCTTCAAATACTCACTTAATCTGCCTTTGACATTGTTGTTGTTATACTACTACTACTACTACTACTACTACTACTACTACTACTACTACTACTACTA